CCCGAAACTAACCTTCACATCGAACACCATCTCCAGAGTAACCAGTGTTGCAGGTGCACTGAAAAGATCCTTTAGTGTTGTTACAATGGGCATTAACATCACAGTTATCCGTATTAGTTTCACACTCGTCAATATCTAATGGGAAATAAGTCAACATTATTTTTGGCACAATAGTTGGTTTATAATAGTTCAAAATAGCAACTAACGCTTCTTTTTAGTCATATGTAAGAGTTTTTTTCTTCAAGTTGAACTCCATTTATAGAAATTAACGAGCCTTATATGTAGTCCTTACTATAGATTCAAGGTAAGGTATCGCAATATCGCAGGACTTCAACTTACCTAAACACACAACTCCGTCTCCAGAATATCCCAAGTGACACGTGCAGTAAAACGATCCCTTTGTGTTTGTACAGTTAGCATCGTAATGGCAGTTATGCGCGTAATGTGAATGGTTGGCTGAGAGTTCCTGGGGCAAGCACTCGTCGATGTCTGAGAATTTAATAGGAAGACTGTTGTTGGGACATATACATGAGACCTTGCAATAAATTCAAGATTTTCATTGCACTATCATCGAAAACAAATGAGGGCATCAGGACAAATTAACCTATTCGTAGTAGAGCGGCTTCCAACTGAGTGTCGTAAACACAAAACCAAAGAAGTCATTTAACCAATCGCGATATCTACAGACAATCCAGTGTATCCATCAAACGTCAGAGCAATACATGTAGTCGACCAAAAGCACGGGAAGACGTGTGTGGGGCGAGTCACGCTTGTTTTTGGATGAGAAGGTGCCGTGAGTTTTTTTTTATGCCAACGCAATCGCTTAGCGAGGTAGTGACAAACCAAAACAAATGCGACACAAGTGAAAACTGCGTTATGTTAAAGTAACTCATCACTAATAACTTTCTAATAAAGATCTGAAAATAACACGCATAATAAATGGCTTCCTTTGTGGGAGCCATAATTAGCCTTCTGTTGACGAATCATCCAAAATAATTAGTATACACATGGTACCTTAATAAGAGCATAATGCTATCACGTGCTTGAAATAAGAATTCAATTTTACTGTCTTAAAACAGGTAGAAATATAAATTTACCTCGGTCCCTCTATCTCACACAGTTTGTCATGGCTGGTGATTTACGAAACTAATGCGTTTACGATTCTTAAATGCCTGAAATACTAGTTCTTTAACACATTTCTGGTCAACTATCGGTAGTTATTTTAAAAAAATTCCCCTTGCTTTCAATATCGCAGACTCGCAGTGATATCTTTTCGATAAATGAAAATTTCATTCAACAGCTATCCGCCAAGTTTACTTGTCCAGATGACATGGGTGGCATAGCTTGGTAACCAAGCTTAGAAGTGTAATTTTCAACGCATAGTCCACATAGAGCAGTGAATATATCGTTATAAGGTGAGCATCCGACCAATCAGAATGTCCCATTCTTGAATTTACCTTTAGAAATTTATAATCTTACCTTCACAAATCACTCCATCTCCAGAGTACCCCGTATGACACGTGCAGTAGAATGATCCCTTTGTGTTCGTGCAGTTGGCATCCACGTGACAGTTGTCTGTATTTGTGCCACATTCATCAATATCTAAACAAAGAAGAAACATAACTTTGGAAAATGACACGAACAGGAAAGGTAACAAAAAGTAATCAACGCAGTCAAACAATGGATTAGCTTAACCATTGTAAGGTAATGCAAATACAGTATAACTAGTAATTAAATGGTACGGATATTTGTATTGTCTACCTAGCAGTCTACAATCTTCAGTTAACTTACCGGTACACAAGACTCCATCTCCGCTATATCCCACGAGACATGTGCAATAAAATGAGCCTTTTGAGTTGGTGCAGGTAGAATCATCATGGCAATTATGGGCCAAATATTTATAGGCATCACTGATTCCATCAGGTTCGCATTCGTTCACGTCTGTGAGGACCCCAAAAAAGAAAAGTGTCAGGTAAGAAAAGCCAAATTAATATTATCCTTCAAAGAGTGATGTATACAATGGCTTACCAACGCAGTTAACTCCATTTCCAGAATACCCATTGAGACAAGTGCAGTAGAATGAACCCTTTGTGTTTGTGCAGTTGGAGTCGTCATGACAATCATTCGCGTAATATGTATGATTGACAGATAAGGTATCCGGTGCACATTCATTGATATCTAAAAAACAAACGAAGAAGAGTATTAAATCAGTAATTCGATTAGTGTAACTTCCCCTGAGTTCCACTTTTCACAGATCTACTTTTTTGACTTGCGAGAAAATTCATCGTCTACACTCCGTCAAAAAGGCAGACAGATATGACATGTCACTTCATGAGCAAGCATCAGGAGAATACTTTTGTAGCTCCTCACCTACACACATGACACCATCTCCAGAGTATCCCGTATGACAGGTGCAGAAGAATGATCCTTTGGTGTTGGTGCAGTTGGCATCAACGTGGCAGTTATCCGTGTTTGTCTGGCACTCCTCAATATCTTGGGAAAACAACAGACGCAGATTCATTATTATTTTATCAATTGCATAATTTCTTGGTCTTGAAGTATTGAAAGAAACTTCGAACATGAAATAAAAAAATCAAAAAATATATATATCACAATGGCAAGCGACATGGAAAAAAGATAATGAAACTGAAGATGTTATTCTTATAATTAGGCCAGGCTAAATTTGTTAAATGGATAAAATTAAATGTTTATATTATAGGAGATGACCTCACACCCTCGTCCGACAGACTGGCTGACATTGATTACCTCAGCGTTTAATACGTTAATTAAACAAAAGCAGTTTAAACTATTTTAGTTTCTTTTAGTTAGTTATGTGGTTTTGCACTTCAGCTGATCCTCACCAAGGCACGTGACCCCGTTTCCAGAATACCCGTTCAGACATGTGCAGTAAAATGATCCCTTAGTGTTGGTACAGTTAGCATCATCGTGGCAATAGTGAGCAAGATGTTTGTATTCCTCGGATATTTCACTTGGGTAACATTCGTTTACATCTGATGAAAGGGAAAAAATGAGAATGGGTCACCTTTTATAAAACTTAGTTAACTGAAACAGAACTTAAGAAATGTATTTCAGAGGTCAGTTTCCAGATAAGTTATTCTAATTCCTTAACCTTGACAAATCACTCCATCGCCAGAATATCCCGTATGGCATGTACAGTAGAATGAGCCGTTTGTGTTGGTACAGTTAGCATCAGTATGGCAGTTGTGCGCGTAGTGACTGTGGATTGACGCAAGGTCGTCCGATCGGCATTCGTTGATATCTGCAATTTGATTATAGTAGCTGGTTAGTAATTCACTGTGCATCTAACTTAGTGCGCGTAATTTCGCGTTCACGTTATAACTTAGTTTGCTAATGAGATAAATGGCCGTTTACTTATTGATGTGCATAATGACCTATCTTCCATCACGTGTGTGCCTTGACGATACAGCCAATCAGAAAGCTCAGAGAAAATAAATAAAGCAGTGGAATATTCGGGAAGAGTCCCACAGGTAGTATTCAGTGTCGTGTTCCCTACGTTCTTCACAGGGGCAACGGAATTCTGCCCCTCAAAAAACCCCTGAAATACACGAATGCGTCAGGCATTTTTCAATTAGCTCAGTTTGAATTTTCCAAGAAGCTTAAACATGAAGAAAAGCATAACTTTCTCTTAAATTAATCTTTCTTAAGTGGAAATTACACGAAAAAAACATGATTTTCCGACACGCTATCGAATTTATTATGAATCAACACAACCCAAGAACAAAATATCCCATACAAAACAAACATTCAGCGACAAGAAATCTGAATGACGTTCCCCCGTCAGACGATGTCTGGCGGACAGAGAATTTTGAGGAAAGGTTACTCAGCATACAGTGTACTTTAAATTCTACTCATAAATCAGTCGGGAACAGTCTCTGGAGAGGTTCATATCATCATTATTCACAGAGGAATCATAACAGATTAACAGGTGGTTTGTGAACTCCTTTATTATCTTTACACAATTATAGTACTTTTTGAAAACATCATCAAGGCGATCAGTTGAACATTGGTAATCACTTACCGACGCAAGTGACTCCATCTCCAGAGAATCCAGTCTTGCACGTGCAATAAAATGAACCTTTGGTATTCGTGCAGTTTGCATCAGCGTGGCAATTGTGAGCAAGATGTTTGTAGTCATCAGATATGCTAGCAGGAGAGCATTCATCGATATCTGAAAATCAATCAAAAGATAAATATAAAACGCTTACATAGGCTGGCTGCCAGACAAGGAAAGTGAAATGAAATGTCAAAAAAGCTTTTCACCTTCACAGGTAACTCCATCCCCTGAATACCCAACTAAACAGCCGCAATAGTACGACCCTTTGGTGTTGGTGCAATTTGCATCGTCGTGGCAGATGTGAGCCAGGTGCTGATATTCAGATGACAAACCAGAAGGAAAACACTCGTTTATATCTAAGTGATAAAATAACACATAATGAAATACACTGTACTAAAGAAACAATCTTTAGTGTATACAGTACCGAGTTCACAAATGACTGACCATATTTTAAGTATTTGGTCAGCCATATTACCGATATTTTGTCAAGACGAAACCTCAGTGTCATCTGTTGGGACGCTTTCATTCAAGCTTGTTCAGCTGACTTCTATATTAAAACTGTTAGATTCAGCGACATTAACGAAAAACGAACGCCTTGCAAAATGATACTGACGCTTTAGTGTCTCAGCTTCTAATGTCTTACAGTACATGCACGCACCTTCACAGATAACGCCATCTCCAGAGTATCCCGTATGACACGTGCAATAAAACGAGCCTTTGGTGTTGGAGCAGTTGGCATCAGGATGACAGTTATGAGCAAGATGTGAATAACGATCAGATATGCTTCCTGGCGAGCATTCGTCTATATCTGAAAATTAATTGGGAGGAGGGCTGTTAAAATATTCTGCATGTAAGGAATATAATTAATTTATAATAGCTACAAGCATTTCTGATGCTATCAAAAGCATGCTGATTGTTACAAACTTTCTTAACGGCCACTTCCACTTAGACAAAACAAAGTTGTTAATTAACTTCAAGTTGATAATTAATGACAATTTCTTTTGAATTTTGTCCTTTCACTCGTCTGCGGGGAGAGGCTTATTCGTACAACAACAACAACAACAACAATGCTTTATTTACTCTAGACACATTTGCAAAGAAAATTACAATAACTTAGGGAAAAGATATGTGCTTAAAGTCGAGCCAGGGGATAAATGAACCTTGCGGGTTCCGAGTTATGTAGAAATCTTGAATTTTATGCAGTACGGTCTTATAACGTGAACAAACAAAGAAGGTTTATATTGCTTACTAACTGGATACCTGCCTGAGTAGCCTTCGTGCGAACTTCTTTGTTTCCTTTCACGTGTAAAAGGAACTTGAAATAGAAGACGTCTGTACGCAGGCTACCCCCTGTGTAACCTGTACCTACCTAGTCCATTTAGGTTACTACTTGCGAAAAGCACTGCAAACCTTGTATACGGCAAAGATTAATCTTCTACTGATTTTCATTACAGCAGTTAAAAATATATTTGTTGATAGTTGAAGCATAGCGAGGTGTCAGATTAGTTGTCTTAGATAATACGACTGTTGTCTGAATCGCTTAGATTCCAAACAACTGTTTTCACAAGATACTTATGAAGGGAAAGTTTCAACACATACCTACACAGCCAACCCCATCTCCTGAGTAACCAGTCAAACAAGTGCAGTAGAAAGAACCCTTCGTGTTAGAGCAGTTGGAATCAGCATGGCAGTTATGGGTCCCAACAACACACTCGTTAATATCTACAATAGAAACAGAAACTTCTTGTGACAACCAGTACGAAAGGTAAATGTGTCATATCACGAAGTACCGTCATACCTTCAGCCGCCGATAGATGTAGAAAATGTAAGATAAAAGCAACTTCGAAAAACCTTTTGCAAACTTAAAATATAAGGATAGGGAGGAAATGATAACACAGTCAGAAAACGTACCATAATGATGTGCTGAACGTACATTGACAGCCAACCAAAAGGTGACAGACCAGGAATGGCATTAAGGCTGATCATGACATTGCTTCAATTTTATTTTCCCGTTTTAACACTCTTGTACTTATAATTAGTATTTTTGCAATTCATTTTGTTAGTTTATTAATATTCGTCTGTCACCTTCTGGTTAGCCCTGTGTCCTGATTAGGCAAATCATCATTTTGCTATATGTTTGCTAATGGTCTTGTAATCACAGCCGAAAAAATGGTGTTTACTCAGTTCTGTGTCACTTCAGTATGCTTATACAGATTCCTCGGAGTTGTTGTTATTTTTCCTGTAGTTTTTAACCGTTTTGCATTGAATTTTCTCACCCATGTAAATGTATATTAATGCCTTGGGTTGCAATCTCGATACATTCATTTCTTACATATACCATAATAGCCGGAATAATAGACAAATTAGTTTCCTTGTAATCTTTGTAACAATTTATGAATAATTCTATCATTAGGTGATAACGGAAGGGTAAGAATTACAACCGAGCAGGTGATAGTTTGTCGCCAAATAAACTTTTTATTCCATATGAGTACTTTACCAACAAATTAAGTCTTTTCATGTATTATTTATTAACGCAACTGATGCTCGAGGTTTTGGTCTGGGATATTAGTAGACCTTTCCCGCATTCAACTTCAGTGCTAATAACGAACCAGAGCGTGGTTGGGGTGGACATTTTCATACATTTGTTGTATTTTTGTCAGCCTTGACCTCGACTCGTCACCCTGTTTGTTGGAAAGCGGGAAAGGTTTATTATTCCCCGCGTCGTATAAACAAATACGTGTACCTCAGTGACAATGTAGACATCAAAAGCTAGTCATTGTTATCACATCCAATCATGATCTTAAAATCAGAGCTGACCGAGTAAGTACAAGGGCGCTTCAAATTTAGCCAAAAATTCCAAAAATTCGAAACGGAGAAATTGGTACGGAAATTTCCTGGGAAGGTTTCCAGAAAATCTGGAAATTTGTTGAATTTCTGAAAAGCGAACCATTCAACCGAAATTCCGTAAATTCTGGGAGGAAAATAAAATGGAACGGTAATTACTGCACGGAATTTCCGAAAATTTGGGTATACCTCGCGCCGGTTTATCCTAATTACCGAAAATTCCTGGAAATGATGTTCCAATCGTCACCGGAAATTTCCGGAAATTCAAAATAGAACTGTTCATCGAATGGAAAGCGCCAAAAGTGTTGTAGCTTTAGCAGGATTCTTTGAAAACCCTTGTATTTATATAGAGCATTCACTTGATATAANCTGGAAATGATGTTCCAATCGTCACTGGAAATTTCCGGAAATTCAAAATAGAACTGTTCATCGAATGGAAGGCGCCAAAAGTGTTGTAGCTTTAGCAGGATTCTTTGAAAACCCTTGTATTTATATAGAGCATTCACTTGATATAACTACCTGAACAAAGCACTCCATCTCCAGAGTATCCCGTGTGACAAGTGCAGTAAAACGAGCCTTTGGTGTTGGTACAGTTGGCGTCGACATGACAGTTGTCAGTTTGGGTGTGGCATTCTTCAATGTCTGCAATAAATACGGTTATCATGGGAAAAACTAAACTATGGCACAACTATTAGAGAATAAAAACATCATTAGAATGGTTAGTATATTAGCTATTAAATGACTTCAGATATCCCTAATAATATATGCTATCTAATGGTTATGGATCAGGAGTTAGTACGTTAAAAGGTATTTGCTTAGTCTCGCATTTCTTACGTACCAATACAAGTGACTCCATCTCCAGAGTATCCCGTATGACACGTGCAATAGAAAGAACCCTTGGTGTTGGTGCAGTTGGCGTCGTCATGGCAATTGTGTGCTAGATGTGCATATCGTGAGGATATTTGTGCCGGGTAACATTCATTTACATCTGTAACAGAAACGAACACGTAACGTTGACGGTCGTCATCAACCAATAGTTCAAAGTGCGTTAGTCTCTTGTAAACTGCTGCCTCAACTATGCCTCAATAACACAGAGAAAACAATATTTCTATTTAACAATGCTGACACTTTTATTTGTAAAAAACTAGGTTACTTTACATATGAAGCACTACAAATAAGAGAACTTTGTAACCCTAGAACTTAAAATGAAGAATCTTGTAACTAACMATGTTTATTTTTCTTTCTGGTTGCTGTTGTAATTTGTTTCGTTTTTGAATTTTTATTTAACGATTATGTATTTAGGTAACACCATTTATATGGGAATACCAATAAATTGTTGTTGTTGTTATAGTTACTTCGTTTAGTATATACAATAGACCTTGTTCATACAACACTTGCAGACAATTTCGGAGATGTTATTTCTGAAGTTAATTTTTTGACACTTTTTATCTCATTTCGGACAATTGTCGAACAAAAAGTTCGGACACTTTACTGGATGATAGCTAACGCATTCGCACCACGTCAAGAATCAGACTGTAATTCGTTATGATAATGATTCATACTAATTCATTATTAGTAGAGGGTTCAGTTTTTTAACTTGGTGATAACATGACGATCATTCAAATACTAAAGAGTAATATCAAGGCAAGCAACTTTTATAATGCTGCGTTTTTGATTTTGACGTACGTTAACAACTCAAATCTCATTCGTAGGATATTACAAACGTGTTAATAAGATACTGTCAGTTACCGACGCAAATAACCCCATCTCCTGAGTACCCATGGTGACATGTACAGTAGAAAGACCCTTTCGTGTTCGTACAGTTAGCATCATTATGGCAGTTGTGTGAATAATGGCTGTGTTCAATCGCCAGAGTTTCCACTTGACATTCACTGATATCTAAATTCAAAAGTACAAACAAATTCATGACGTGAATTTGCAACGTATTCTAGCTCTTTTTACCCCCCTTCCTCAATAATGGCCTCATTCAAATAATAATCCCCTCTTGGCGAAAGCTCCCACCAATATTATTGAAGGAAATATGACTACTGTTTCATTGACATCTATCTAAATGATATCTAACTGACCAACGCAAGTGACTCCATCTCCAGAGTATCCCGTATGACACGTGCAGTAGAATGATCCTTTGGTGTTGGTGCAGTTGGCGTCAGCATGGCAGTTGTGTGTGCCAGATGCACACTCGTCGATATCTAGAAGTTAATTGTTGTTCAATTCAGTTAATAATCAATTTTATCCTTTTACCCGAAATACCCGAAGGTGTTAAAAATTAGCATCACCTTCGCACTTTCTCCCGTTTCCATAGTAACCATCCTGACAGCCGCAGTTGTACGATCCTTTAGTGTTTGTGCAGTTGGCATCACCGTGGCACATATGAGCCAGATGTTGATGGTCAGCTGATAATCCAGATGGGTCGCATTCGTTGATATCTGTGTAAGGGCAATTTGCAAGGTACAAAAAATGAATACATTGTAAATGAACTTACATTTCGCAAAATATACCCAATAGTATTACCAACACACACAACTCCATCTCCAGAGTATCCAGTATAACACGTGCAGTAGAATGATCCATTAGTGTTGGTGCAGTTGGCGTCACCATGACAGTTATGGGCAAGGTGGGCATATTCAGCAGATATAAGATCACGAAAACACTCGTCAATGTCTGAAAAAGATTTAAAAAGATGCAATTAAGGAAAAATATATATAAAAAAAATACGTTAATGGTTTTATATTAGTGGAGTTCGTTCCTTGCAAAAAAGAGATTCCAATATTTTCTTGGACCTGTTTGATGAAATTTTTATTGTGGCTCTTTTAAAAGTATAAAGACTTCTCCGAAACTGTGCACGATATTGCTGTCACAGTTATTTTCTGAATGCTCAGCCACTTTCCTTACACTTGAAGCAATATTATCGGCTGGACAAAATTGTTATAAAAATGTTTCAACTTGAGACCAACTGTTAGTAAATATCGGGAAGCAAACAGGATGCTCTTTTGCATTGGCTTGTTTGCCAAATTATTAGATGATTTTGTTGAAACCAGCTTTAACTAGAAAGAAGAGTTTACGATAAGAAGAAACGATAGAGCTGACCGACTGAGAGTAGAAATCTAGCATAGCTTGCATTTTATTACATGTAATACTGAATGAACATGGTGTGAAAATTGCAAACTCATCCATTTTACCAATGCATGTAACTCCATCCCCAGAATATCCCAAATGACACGTGCAGTAGAATGATCCTTTAGTGTTGGTACAGTTGGCATCAGCATGGCAGTTGTGAGTAAAATGAAGATATTCATCCGATATTTGACCAGGAAAACACTCGTTCACATCTAAACCACAAGGAACCAAGGAAATGACAACTTTTAATTAAACTATAAAACCATGGTAACTGCGTTAATTTACAAAATAATTCGTGAAATTTAACTTGTTGGTTAAACTGCACTCACCATTACATGTGACCCCGTCTCCAGAGTAACCATGGTGACAAGTACAATAAAATGATCCTTTGGTGTTAGTACAGTTTGCATCATCATGACAATTGTCAGTATCAGTTGTGCATTCCTCGATATCTTAAAAGTAAGAAAGGATTCGAGTGGTAACAGCTTTTTTAGTTATTACCATAAAAAAATTCATTGATAAATTCATTAATTGCAAGAATCATCGCATCTGTGACTGCCATTATCGAGAACTAATTGACTTTTCAGACTATTATCAATACATTTAAATTACTAATAAAGGTTAATTGAGGTTAAATGTTAGTAACGGAAAAGTTAAATTTAGATATACAATGTTTTTATATTGAAGATAAACGAGAAAACTTCAAACGTTGACTTTTCACTTCACAACTTTGCATACGTTAATGTCTCACGGTCAACCTACGGAAAAACTGAACCAAAGTCAAACAGGTACTGTTTTTAAGGATACACATGTGTTGTAACACAGTGCATCATTGATTAGTATATTGACAGGGTTTATTGTATATTACAGGATTACAAATCTAACTTAAACTTAGACGTATAAAGCTACTTAGTTAGGTAATTTACGGATGGATCAGGAGTTAGATGGATGTTAGTAATGGTTAAATAATCCATATAAGAGTCCTATCATTAGCCTCATTTACCATCCGTCATTGACTAAACTCACCCACACATGTTACACCATCCCCAGAATAACCATTAAGGCACGTGCAATAAAATGATCCTTTAGTGTTGGTACAGTTGGCATCAGCGTGACAGTTGTGAGCAAGATGATGATATTCATTAGATATTTGATCAGGAAAACATTCGTCAATGTCTGAAAGTGAAAGGTAGACAGGAAACGGTTTTACCACACATCGTTTTACGTTAATCCACGACGGGAAGAAAGAAGGATAAGTGTTCATGAAATAAAAATTAACTTTCATCTGTTTAATACTATGTCTTCAGGTATCGTCATTTTCATAACAGCAAACAGTTATCATTACTTTGTATGTTATTGTGAAAACATAGTTTGTACCTATGCAAGTGACTCCGTCTCCAGAGTATCCCGTATGACATGTACAGTAGAATGATCCTTTGGTGTTGGTGCAGTTAGCATCTACGTGGCAGTTGTGGGAATATTTATCCACATGTTCTTGAGATAAACTGTTCACATGACACTCATTGATATCTAGGTAAGAAACAGATATAAATCAGTGGTATAGTGTACGTTCAAAACCAGTTAAGCGCCTCAGTCATTGGTGGTGCTGAAGCTATTCGATCGCATCTTTCTTTTCAACTGGGACTTCTTTCTACGTTGGTAGAAGCGAAATGCCGTGACTGTACCAACGGTGATTAGCACGACTCGATATAAAGTCGACTTTTGTTCGCTAATAACGGGAATTCTAATCTAACGTTACCACTGAAAGGTAACGAAATAACGATTCATAACGAGTGGAGTGTCAATGCTACCTCTTTAGGTCGCACAGGAAATACGCTTGCTTCAATATTAAATATGTTATGGATATTTGACGAAGTTCATTTCTCGTTTGGTAAGAAAAATCGTATTTCTTAAACAAGAGAGGACGAAGGGTACCCTTTATCTTCTCAAACAAATGACTTTAATTTTTAAGGGTGAGCATAGTTAATAGAGGGGAATAGTTATGAAACCCAACAGTTCTTCGTTGTATGTTTTTGTTCCCTGTTTTGGTCTTGACCGTGCACAAAACACAATAGTTGTTTACTCCGTACTGAGGAACTAACCAATAGAAACGTGTTGGTTACGTCATTCGTGCCATAGAGTATGCGCAAAACAAAAGATTGTGCATGGTCGTGGACTTTCTAACAGAAATCTTGGCATCTGTGTTTGCTCCTTTAATGTTTGCCGGGGTTCATAACCAGTCCCCTCTATTAACTGTGGAGTGAGCCTTGGATTTTGCTCGAAAGGCTATCTTTTGAGACTAACTATTATGTCTTGTTGCCAAACCTTCACAGGTGACTCCATCTCCAGAGTATCCCGTATAACACGTGCAGTAGAATGATCCCTTTGTATTGGTGCAGTTTGCATCAACATGACAGTTGTGTGTTCCAACGGAGCACTCATCAATATCTACCGAAACATGTGACAAGAACGCGTTTATCTGCTGTTTGTAACAAACGACCTAATTATCCCAACAAAATTGCAAATTGCGAATCTTGTTAATTACCCAAGACCTCAGTTTTTAATCACAAACCAATAGATCTTTGGAAGAAACTTCTGGGTTCATACAGATTTTTAATCACTAATTGACTCTCACTAACTTAACGTCAGAATAACTGGATAAAACTGCTATGGTGGCAAATGTTTTACAGATCTGCAAAAGACAACATTGAAGGCACATTTTCTAAGAGACCTTTGAAAGACGTTTGTGGCAAGTTCCCTAACGATGAAGGATAACTACGAATCCCGCGTGTTATAACCTGAGTGTATGGTTCACCTTGGCAGGAGATTCCATTTCCTGAATATCCGTCCAGGCATGCGCAATGGTAAGATCCTTTTGTGTTTGTACAGTTAGCATCGTCATGACAAATGTGAGCGAAGTGTTGATACTCAGATGACAATCCAGATGGGTCACATTCGTTGATATCTTTAGATAAAAGAAAACATAGGAATTATAACTGTTGCTGGTTCAGAGTATATTACAGCCCATACATTTTGTAGCTCCTGCTTTGTCAAGCATTCCCAAAATCCACAGAGAAATCTGACCTTTGCGAACTAAAATGCTCATGATAATAACGTGTTCGCGTCCTTGCAATTTCATAAAAAAGGTTCAGAACAGAATAAAGGAGCATGGGAAATCCGTGGTACCTGTGCACGTGACTCCATCTCCAGAGTATCCCGTATGACACATGCAGTAGAATGATCCATTTGTGTTGGAACAGTTGGCATCCACGTGACAATTGTGAGCAAGGTGTTTATATTCAGCAGATATCTGATCAGGAAAACACTCGTCCACATCTATAAGAACAAGAAGGAACATTTTAAAGGATTATTAACTTTCCTAACAGGAAAAAAGTTCAGGCAGTCTGGATCCCTAGCGGAACAACGTAGTGCTAATGCAAATATAATATAGGGATAATTAGGAGTCAGTTTGGCGTTTCTGTGGATCGAGTTTCTGAAATTACGATTTTGAACTTCGCAATTGTGTTTCCGTTGATATTTGAAAGAAAGAATACGAAAAGCAAATAGGTACCAGAGAATCGTTTCAGGGGGTCTTTTGTAACCACCGCACTGTTAACTACCCAAGGCTTCTTACCATCATGTCAAGGGATATGCTGAACTTCCACAGCTAAAGTGATCATACTTATTCTATTGAATGAGTGTTCTTTATTTCTGCATCGACGATATTTAGTAATTGCGCGGCCATAACTGAATAAATACTAAGGACCCAAACGAATAGGCCATTCCCGAGTTACTTTGTGCCTCTTTTTTCAAAATGAGTCCTCGTGCAAAACCTTTCATATGAAAATGAGTTTGGTTTGCATGAAAAAGAACCTGAAGGGGAACACATTTTCATTGTGAATTGTTTTCCACGAAGTCTCGTTCTGACACAGAGGCAAAAGGCAACCAGAAAATGGCCTATTCCATTTATGCCAAACAATGCAATTGCTAATCAACATTTTGGGGAAAAAGCGTTATATGATCGTTGTAGCCACAGGGAGGATGTTACAGTTTTTCCCTATATAGGTTCATTGTTGTTTGTGTGTTAAAACGACAAATTATAAAATGATCTTCCTATTACGGATGGTGTTTAACCTCTTATGCTGTTTTGGCATTAACGCTGGCCATACTCGTGGAATGCTGTTGTTTCTTTTAATATTGGGTGGTCTTCCTCTTGTGCAAAATAAATAACCACCACATAGCGTCCTTACAATCTATTGTTACGAAATACTAAAGACGATACTTTTAGTAAGTACCGAACAAGGATAAATGACCGATAATAAAAATTTTAGGCTACATTTTATCACGAATTGTAATAACGTTTGCTTGCTTAAAAGTAATCTGTTTTGCTTAAAAGTAAATCTGTTTTGTACAATTATATGGTAATCACAAATTATTTTACCAATACACGAGACTCCATCTCCAGAGTACCCCGTATGACACGTGCAGTAGAATGATCCTTTAGTGTTGGTGCAATTGGCATCAGCATGGCAGTTGTGAGCAAGATGAAGATACTCATTCGATATTTGATCAGGAAAACATTCGTCAATATCTGAAAGTGGAAAGTAGATAGAAAAATATTGGCCATATCAAATGCTATATTGAATGTACTATAAATTCGCACAGTTGACTGTTAGTGTCATGTTCTTTGACATCTGTTGATAGGTCACAGTTCTATACTAACACTTATCCAAGTGTAAATTACCGTTACAAGTGACTCCATCTCCAGAGTATCCCGTATGACACATGCAGTAGAATGATCCTTTCGTGTTGGTGCAGTTGGCATCCACATGACAATGATCTATTTCTGTGGCACATTCTTCAATGTCTGAAATGCAAGTTTGTCAATTATGGGCCTTTATTGTTTTAGTTCTGGTATTTTTTTCACCTGATTAGAAAACAGATGAAAGATTGAAGAGGCTTCACATAAAGTGCTCAGTGCTATTTTAATGAGGTTCCAACATTCAAAAACTTTTCAACCCAACACCACAAACATTCTGACACACCTACCCTGGTGAATAAACCTCCAGAGTATAAGTAAAACAAATGTTACTTTACTCGAATTAAATAAAAAAAATGATTATGGATCAGGAGTTTCCTGGCTTTTGGGCTACCTGCAAGTTATATATATCTAGGTGTTAAAAGTGTTAACAGAAATCTGTACCTCTGTTGTCATGGCGACGCATCCTTAACGTAGATCACCGACCTACAAAGGCCACTTCCCGTTTACCAGATAATAAACTGTAATTGTTTGATTAGTATTCTTAGCATAATTATCGTTAGACGATTCTACTCTTAATGGTTGTTTGTTCACTTTAGTAAGTTTGTATTTAATTTTTATTTTGTTTCCATTTCGTTTTCTTTGTATTCGTGTATTCAATGGATAAAAGAGATTTGATTTGTTGCATAGAGGTAACTGATCATCAAATGAGGTTCACTTTACCAACACAGCTGATTCCATCTCCAGAGTATCCCGTATGACACGTGCAGTAGAATGATCCTTTTGTGTTGGAACAGTTGGCATCAGCATGGCAGTTGTGAGCAAGATGAAGATATTCATCAGATATCTGATCAGGTAAACATTCGTCCACGTCTGAAAGGTAAAACGCGACGGCAAATTTATTCCACTCATATATTACTATCCGGTACTTCCTCCACGCGAATTTTTTCATAGTTATATTATTAATAAGTAATCATACGGTTTTTCTCGTTCAATTTGAAATTAATTTGCACTTGTGAGTTTCTCAAAAAGCTGAAATTGCCGAAGCGGCTCTTACAATTTCAGCTTTTTGAAAAACTCACAAGCGTAAATTAATTCCAAATTGAACGAGAAAAACCGTATGATTACCTATACTAATCCCCAGTTTTTAATGGGGCATATTTAGTCACGTGACGCGTTTAGACCAATCGCGCGCGAGTGAAAATATTTCACGGATTATAATCTGATTATCATGTGAAAAGGTAGTCTTCAGCTATGAGGTTGACTTCCCTGTTTTGCCATGCGAACCGTTTCCACTGAAACAGTCATAAGCCGGGTATTTTTTTGTTTTGCAATGCAAGGCTCGGGTGCCCTAGCTTGCTCGAGGATCGTACTAAGGAGTATTATTCCTCGGTCGTTTTCATACGAACCTCGCTTGCCTGGGTCCGTATTGCCACTACGGAGGGCCAATATTCTCGCACTCGGTACCTAAGAAGTTAATGATGACGTCACCTTGCGTCGCGTCGCGAAAAAAAGCGGGTTTTTACACAAGTAACCATGATTTGGGAGGTGTGTCCTCTCCTGTCCTTGTACAGGAAAATAAAAAAAATTGATTCCAAAACGTAACTAAAAAACACCCAAGAATCCGTTGGATTATTCCACAAGCAAAATAATCGTTTCAATAAGTAAGGATGGATTAGCTGTTCTGGAATATTCCGAAATATAGTCACATTCCGGAATAAGGTCAACCAAAAACACAATTTAATGTAACATGTAAATATTTTCTGTGATCGCTTCTTCCCTTTATGAAAAAAAGCGTATTTTACGCACATATATTTCTTTACCTGCACAAATAACACCATCTCCTGAGTAACCATGGTGACACGTGCAGTAAAATGATCCCTTGGTGTTGGTACAGTTAGCATCGTCGTGACAATTATGAGCATAATTGCTGTGATGAGGTGCGAGGGCTTCAGTTTGACATTCGCTGATATCTAAAATGTAATTACAACAGATCTAGAAAGCATATTGCGTACCTATAAATGTTGAATGTTAGTAACTTTCAGGTGCTTTTCTCTTGTAAATTTAAAGGGAAATAAACTGTCGTTTCTACCCCAGAAAAGGTGATTTTAGACAAAAATGCATGCACCGTAATCAAAGACCCTGACAGGAGNATGAAATAAAAATTAACTTTCATCTGTTTAATACTATGTCTTCAGGTATCGTCATTTTCATAACAGCAAACAGTTATCATTACTTTGTATGTTATTGTGAAAACATAGTTTGTACCTATGCAAGTGACTCCGTCTCCAGAGTATCCCGTATGACATGTACAGTAGAATGATCCTTTGGTGTTGGTGCAGTTAGCATCTACGTGGCAGTTGTGGGAATATTTATCCACATGTTCTTGAGATAAACTGTTCACATGACACTCATTGATATCTAGGTAAGAAACAGATATAAATCAGTGGTATAGTGTACGTTCAAAACCAGTTAAGCGCCTCAGTCATTGGTGGTGCTGAAGCTATTCGATCGCATCTTTCTTTTCAACTGGGACTTCTTTCTACGTTGGTAGAAGCGAAATGCCGTGACTGTACCAACGGTGATTAGCACGACTCGATATAAAGTCGACTTTTGTTCGCTAATAACGGGAATTCTAATCTAACGTTACCACTGAAAGGTAACGAAATAACGATTCATAACGAGTGGAGTGTCAATGCTACCTCTTTAGGTCGCACAGGAAATACGCTTGCTTCAATATTAAATATGTTATGGATATTTGACGAAGTTCATTTCTCGTTTGGTAAGAAAAATCGTATTTCTTAAACAAGAGAGGACGAAGGGTACCCTTTATCTTCTCAAACAAATGACTTTAATTTTTAAGGGTGAGCATAGTTAATAGAGGGGAATAGTTATGAAACCCAACAGTTCTTCGTTGTATGTTTTTGTTCCCTGTTTTGGTCTTGACCGTGCACAAAACACAATAGTTGTTTACTCCGTACTGAGGAACTAACCAATAGAAACGTGTTGGTTACGTCATTCGTGCCATAGAGTATGCGCAAAACAAAAGATTGTGCATGGTCGTGGACTTTCTAACAGAAATCTTGGCATCTGTGTTTGCTCCTTTAATGTTTGCCGGGGTTCATAACCAGTCCCCTCTATTAACTGTGGAGTGAGCCTTGGATTTTGCTCGAAAGGCTATCTTTTGAGACTAACTATTATGTCTTGTTGCCAAACCTTCACAGGTGACTCCATCTCCAGAGTATCCCGTATAACACGTGCAGTAGAATGATCCCTTTGTATTGGTGCAGTTTGCATCAACATGACAGTTGTGTGTTCCAACGGAGCACTCATCAATATCTACCGAAACATGTGACAAGAACGCGTTTATCTGCTGTTTGTAACAAACGACCTAATTATCCCAACAAAATTGCAAATTGCGAATCTTGTTAATTACCCAAGACCTCAGTTTTTAATCACAAACCAATAGATCTTTGGAAGAAACTTCTGGGTTCATACAGATTTTTAATCACTAATTGACTCTCACTAACTTAACGTCAGAATAACTGGATAAAACTGCTATGGTGGCAAATGTTTTACAGATCTGCAAAAGACAACATTGAAGGCACATTTTCTAAGAGACCTTTGAAAGACGTTTGTGGCAAGTTCCCTAACGATGAAGGATAACTACGAATCCCGCGTGTTATAACCTGAGTGTATGGTTCACCTTGGCAGGAGATTCCATTTCCTGAATATCCGTCCAGGCATGCGCAATGGTAAGATCCTTTTGTGTTTGTACAGTTAGCATCGTCATGACAAATGTGAGCGAAGTGTTGATACTCAGATGACAATCCAGATGGGTCACATTCGTTGATATCTTTAGATAAAAGAAAACATAGGAATTATAACTGTTGCTGGTTCAGAGTATATTACAGCCCATACATTTTGTAGCTCCTGCTTTGTCAAGCATTCCCAAAATCCACAGAGAAATCTGACCTTTGCGAACTAAAATGCTCATGATAATAACGTGTTCGCGTCCTTGCAATTTCATAAAAAAGGTTCAGAACAGAATAAAGGAGCATGGGAAATCCGTGGTACCTGTGCACGTGACTCCATCTCCAGAGTATCCCGTATGACACATGCAGTAGAATGATCCATTTGTGTTGGAACAGTTGGCATCCACGTGACAATTGTGAGCAAGGTGTTTATATTCAGCAGATATCTGATCAGGAAAACACTCGTCCACATCTATAAGAACAAGAAGGAACATTTTAAAGGATTATTAACTTTCCTAACAGGAAAAAAGTTCAGGCAGTCTGGATCCCTAGCGGAACAACGTAGTGCTAATGCAAATATAATATAGGGATAATTAGGAGTCAGTTTGGCGTTTCTGTGGATCGAGTTTCTGAAATTACGATTTTGAACTTCGCAATTGTGTTTCCGTTGATATTTGAAAGAAAGAATACGAAAAGCAAATAGGTACCAGAGAATCGTTTCAGGGGGTCTTTTGTAACCACCGCACTGTTAACTACCCAAGGCTTCTTACCATCATGTCAAGGGATATGCTGAACTTCCACAGCTAAAGTGATCATACTTATTCTATTGAATGAGTGTTCTTTATTTCTGCATCGACGATATTTAGTAATTGCGCGGCCATAACTGAATAAATACTAAGGACCCAAACGAATAGGCCATTCCCGAGTTACTTTGTGCCTCTTTTTTCAAAATGAGTCCTCGTGCAAAACCTTTCATATGAAAATGAGTTTGGTTTGCATGAAAAAGAACCTGAAGGGGAACACATTTTCATTGTGAATTGTTTTCCACGAAGTCTCGTTCTGACACAGAGGCAAAAGGCAACCAGAAAATGGCCTATTCCATTTATGCCAAACAATGCAATTGCTAATCAACATTTTGGGGAAAAAGCGTTATATGATCGTTGTAGCCACAGGGAGGATGTTACAGTTTTTCCCTATATAGGTTCATTGTTGTTTGTGTGTTAAAACGACAAATTATAAAATGATCTTCCTATTACGGATGGTGTTTAACCTCTTATGCTGTTTTGGCATTAACGCTGGCCATACTCGTGGAATGCTGTTGTTTCTTTTAATATTGGGTGGTCTTCCTCTTGTGCAAAATAAATAACCACCACATAGCGTCCTTACAATCTATTGTTACGAAATACTAAAGACGATACTTTTAGTAAGTACCGAACAAGGATAAATGACCGATAATAAAAATTTTAGGCTACATTTTATCACGAATTGTAATAACGTTTGCTTGCTTAAAAGTAATCTGTTTTGCTTAAAAGTAAATCTGTTTTGTACAATTATATGGTAATCACAAATTATTTTACCAATACACGAGACTCCATCTCCAGAGTACCCCGTATGACACGTGCAGTAGAATGATCCTTTAGTGTTGGTGCAATTGGCATCAGCATGGCAGTTGTGAGCAAGATGAAGATACTCATTCGATATTTGATCAGGAAAACATTCGTCAATATCTGAAAGTGGAAAGTAGATAGAAAAATATTGGCCATATCAAATGCTATATTGAATGTACTATAAATTCGCACAGTTGACTGTTAGTGTCATGTTCTTTGACATCTGTTGATAGGTCACAGTTCTATACTAACACTTATCCAAGTGTAAATTACCGTTACAAGTGACTCCATCTCCAGAGTATCCCGTATGACACATGCAGTAGAATGATCCTTTCGTGTTGGTGCAGTTGGCATCCACATGACAATGATCTATTTCTGTGGCACATTCTTCAATGTCTGAAATGCAAGTTTGTCAATTATGGGCCTTTATTGTTTTAGTTCTGGTATTTTTTTCACCTGATTAGAAAACAGATGAAAGATTGAAGAGGCTTCACATAAAGTGCTCAGTGCTATTTTAATGAGGTTCCAACATTCAAAAACTTTTCAACCCAACACCACAAACATTCTGACACACCTACCCTGGTGAATAAACCTCCAGAGTATAAGTAAAACAAATGTTACTTTACTCGAATTAAATAAAAAAAATGATTATGGATCAGGAGTTTCCTGGCTTTTGGGCTACCTGCAAGTTATATATATCTAGGTGTTAAAAGTGTTAACAGAAATCTGTACCTCTGTTGTCATGGCGACGCATCCTTAACGTAGATCACCGACCTACAAAGGCCACTTCCCGTTTACCAGATAATAAACTGTAATTGTTTGATTAGTATTCTTAGCATAATTATCGTTAGACGATTCTACTCTTAATGGTTGTTTGTTCACTTTAGTAAGTTTGTATTTAATTTTTATTTTGTTTCCATTTCGTTTTCTTTGTATTCGTGTATTCAATGGATAAAAGAGATTTGATTTGTTGCATAGAGGTAACTGATCATCAAATGAGGTTCACTTTACCAACACAGCTGATTCCATCTCCAGAGTATCCCGTATGACACGTGCAGTAGAATGATCCTTTTGTGTTGGAACAGTTGGCATCAGCATGGCAGTTGTGAGCAAGATGAAGATATTCATCAGATATCTGATCAGGTAAACATTCGTCCACGTCTGAAAGGTAAAACGCGACGGCAAATTTATTCCACTCATATATTACTATCCGGTACTTCCTCCACGCGAATTTTTTCATAGTTATATTATTAATAAGTAATCATACGGTTTTTCTCGTTCAATTTGAAATTAATTTGCACTTGTGAGTTTCTCAAAAAGCTGAAATTGCCGAAGCGGCTCTTACAATTTCAGCTTTTTGAAAAACTCACAAGCGTAAATTAATTCCAAATTGAACGAGAAAAACCGTATGATTACCTATACTAATCCCCAGTTTTTAATGGGGCATATTTAGTCACGTGACGCGTTTAGACCAATCGCGCGCGAGTGAAAATATTTCACGGATTATAATCTGATTATCATGTGAAAAGGTAGTCTTCAGCTATGAGGTTGACTTCCCTGTTTTGCCATGCGAACCGTTTCCACTGAAACAGTCATAAGCCGGGTATTTTTTTGTTTTGCAATGCAAGGCTCGGGTGCCCTAGCTTGCTCGAGGATCGTACTAAGGAGTATTATTCCTCGGTCGTTTTCATACGAACCTCGCTTGCCTGGGTCCGTATTGCCACTACGGAGGGCCAATATTCTCGCACTCGGTACCTAAGAAGTTAATGATGACGTCACCTTGCGTCGCGTCGCGAAAAAAAGCGGGTTTTTACACAAGTAACCATGATTTGGGAGGTGTGTCCTCTCCTGTCCTTGTACAGGAAAATAAAAAAAATTGATTCCAAAACGTAACTAAAAAACACCCAAGAATCCGTTGGATTATTCCACAAGCAAAATAATCGTTTCAATAAGTAAGGATGGATTAGCTGTTCTGGAATATTCCGAAATATAGTCACATTCCGGAATAAGGTCAACCAAAAACACAATTTAATGTAACATGTAAATATTTTCTGTGATCGCTTCTTCCCTTTATGAAAAAAAGCGTATTTTACGCACATATATTTCTTTACCTGCACAAATAACACCATCTCCTGAGTAACCATGGTGACACGTGCAGTAAAATGATCCCTTGGTGTTGGTACAGTTAGCATCGTCGTGACAATTATGAGTATAATTGCTGTGATGTGACGCCAGGCTTTCGTCCTCACACTCCGAAATATCTTTGAGTAAATAAGAACCGAATAAGTGAAAATATAAGTGAAAATAAAATCCTTGAACAAAATGGGGAAACTGGGCTTCCAGCTTATTAGCATACCTCCGAGAAATCAAAACATATGGGCCTCACTTCCGAGTGAGCTTAAGAAACTTATGTCGAAAAGGATTTTCAAACACATATTGAAACAGTTTTTACTTAAAGATTTTTAACCTTAGTAGGTTGTAGTATTTTTTTTTTATCCTAGTTTTAGTTTTAAACCTTAGTTGTAGTCTTAAGTTTTAAGCTTTTATTACCTCTGTATTTTAGACATTTAATGCATATTTTAGACTTCTATTTTCTTAGAGGAACCACCTGAAAACCACCTCTAGGTGATTGAAGACCTCCTCTTAAAATAGTAATTTATCATTATATTATTCTTTAGAACTATTACAGACTTACAGTCAAGAATATTCGTTTTGACATGGGAAAACCTTTCAATAAAGCTGCTTACCAACACACGTGACTCCATTTCCAGAGTATCCAGTATGACAGGTACAATAGAATGATCCTTTGGTGTTGGTGCAGTTAGCATCAACATGACAGTTATGTGTGCCAGACGTGCATTCATCAATGTCTTATGAAAATGGGAAATATGTCGAATTACATAACAAAAAATATAATACAATAATATAATACAATAATTATAATTGGTATTGCACAAATTTCGTTAATAACATAACAAAAATTGGATAGCGATAAAAGAGGTAAAAAGCAAACTCCTAATCCAAATTTCCGGCAATACAAAGCTATGATAAAATGCTTAATGAAAAAAATTAACAACAACCACAACAAGGACAACAGTTTTGGCACTTCCTTCATGTAGATATAGGATAAAAGAAGATAAAAATCCTAATAAAATGTTCTCATAGGAAGCTAAGAACAAATATTTCATTTTAAATAAAAAATGGGGGTTTTAACTTAGTTTTAAAAGTGCTAACGGTTTAGCACTTCGAATAGTGGCGTTATAACATTCTGCACGCATTTTAACTTACTTTGTGGAAGCAAGCAAAGCTTTCCTCACAGGAACCCAAGGACCATGATTTACTTCATATTCCGTTGGACATCTCTTTTCGCGTTTCTCCTCTTACGTTTGACTCTATTATTCATGAAGCAATATATGAAGTTGCAGTCGCCTGCTATCGATGTACGAGTGCATCGCGAACAACGCACCGGAAAGCGGAATCCCTTTGCAGCCCTGACATTTTGTCCTTGCAGCACCACTGAATTGATTATAACTTTACTTTAACTTTTTCCATTTCATTTTCATCCTTCCAAATATCATCAGTTTTAGTTAAATTGATACGAGGGATCGCTAATTTTAAATTTCCTTCGAACTTTGCATATATTTATCCATACAAACACATTCCAGGACGTGCGCGACTTGCGTAAACAAACAATGTCATTGTAACTTACCATCGCATTGGTTTCCATTTCCTGCATAACCTTCCTGACAGCCGCAGTTGTACGATCCTTTGGTGTTTGTGCAGTTGGCATTACCGTGACACTTGTTAGCCAGATGTTGGTGGTCAGCTGATAATCCAGATGCGTCACATTCGTTGATATCTAAAAGCGAAATATAGAAAACTAAAATTTCATTCCTATTACTTAGCATCGTCGAGGCAAGTAAGTGGTGTATTTGCCGGCATGCTTATTAGGGGGAAAGGGAGCAATATATTTCCTTTGAGATTCCCAAGTTACTCATTAGTTTTTAGAGTCATACCAAGTTAAAGTTTGAGTTCCACAGTTTCTGGCAACGAATTCTTTTCATGTATCAATTTCCTTAAGTTCCGGCTAGTTTTAATGCTTTCATGATGATATTTCATTCTAAACAAATCAGGAATTATCGGCAGAGCAAATGGTCTTGTGGCACGTGATATTAAATAAGCTGTCATTACCAACACAAGTGACACCATCTCCTGAGTACCCTGTAAGACAAGTGCAGTAGAATGATCCTTTGGTGTTGGAACATGTGGCGTCATCATGACAGTTGTGGGCTAGACGAAGATACTTAGCAGATATCTGACCAGGAGAACACTCGTCGATATCTGAGATGAAAAAGAAGTGAATATATTAAGACTGACGGTGCATCCCTTAGTCCTCTGCTTTTCCCGTATTTCGATATAAATACCGTGGTACTAAGTCTTCAGGTCTTCAGGACAAGACATCTGCTGAACCGTTTGTATAATGTTAAGTCACGAGGACGATGTTTCATATGAAGAGGAAAACTGACTGTTCTTTTTTTCGGTTTAGTAGTACGTAAAGCCGCGAGCTTAGCTATCCAGAGGAAATATTGAGGTTTCAGCAAGAGGATGTGCGCATTTTGGCAAGTGTTTGTAAAATGAGGGTCGATTATATCTATCGTTAAGAGCCTTTTTAACAACTCTGCCAGAATTTTGAAAGGTTTGATTGAAGCCACTATTCTACGAGAAAAGTTTTAAATCAGCATTAAAGAAGATACTACTTACCATCACACGTAACTCCATCTCCAGAATATCCCGTAAGACACGTGCAGTAGAACGATCCTTTGGTATTCGTGCAATTTGCGTCATCATGACAATTGTCACTTTCGGTTTGACATTCCTCGATATCTGTAAAGAAAATTGCAATTCTTATAATTTAGGATTGATCTCAAGCGTGCAGTTTCGTTTTTATAGCGTTAATAAGTTGACAAGTGGTAAACCCACATGAAAGAAATACAAGTCCATCTCAGATTGATCGCTAGTATTTCGCCAATTCAAGTTGCCTGAACAATAATTTACTAGCCTGAGCACTCATTGAAATATTGGATGGAGATTGACAACATGGGCATTTTGTGTGTATAACTCTTAGGAACAGTTGCACTGTAAAATTAATAAGTTGTATCTCTGACATGATATAATAAAGTATTTTTTGTTAATGGAACTCCCCACTAAGGTCAATCACAATGAACACAAGAAATCCAACGACCCAATCAAAACTCGAAGTTCGGCAAAAAAAAAAAGTATGCGAGAGACTCACAATTGGTTTTGGTTTTTATTACGATGGCTTGGTTGAGGAGGTTCTGTGAGATTTTTAAACGAAGATTAAAGCAAAACCAAAGGAAATGTGTAATACTTTTGATATCATTCAAATGAAAAGCACGAGATACTTAATATTTAGTAAACGAGAAATTGATCATGGGGATATCTGTAGAATATGCATTTACCGTAACAAGTGACTCCATCTCCAGAGTATCCCTTATGACACGTGCAGTAGAATGATCCCTTGGTGTTTGTACAGTTGGCATCAGCATGGCAGTTGTCTGTGTCTGTTGTACATTCTTCTATGTCTGAAGTAAATGAAATGATTTTTGGTGAGTTCGTGACGTTTGTTTGACTAGAAAGCACGTGCTCTAATACTACAATTTCTATTTGACGTGTGTGCCCTGTCCATTAGTCATGCCAACACTAACTCCTTAAAAGAAAAATAATAAAAACGTGAGAATTATCACAACAAAGATGTTATCTTTACTTTAAATTTATTTATTCATTTATTTATTTATTTACTTCCTACAAGAAAAAATAATCAATATACTGACTTAGACATAAACATTTGACCTTGCTTTTAATTCATTGATTTATCTATTTACTCTTAGAATAATAATGATATACTTATTACAAAAGTAGTTAAAATTATACTCATTTCATCTTAAGGGTAGTTTAATACCTCATCAAACTGTAATAATAAATACTGCAACTATCAAGAATGGCATAAACAGAATAGACACAAGTAGAAAAATGTAGAAAAGGTAACTTTAAGTCGCATAATCTTTGTTAATTAAACATTATTTAGCCATAATTTAACAGCTTAGACTTAGTCTTATTAACATCAGAAATATCTTGATAATCTATAGATTCTTTAGAGATTTGCCACTCTCTTTTAGACCTTTCATTGAAGAATTTTGGGAATGCCCTTTAAAAAGTTTTAAACGCTATCGAAGCGTTAAATCTTTTGTAAAGTTCACATTCCGAAAAAAGTGAGAAACCAACGATCTGCAGAAAAGTATCAGATTGGCAGGAAACACTCCTTTTCTTTGAGTCGACTTTTCCGCCTAAGACAAATGTAGTTGTCTTACTTAGTTGGTTCGTACTTGAACATGCACAGTCTCCGCAGTTTCTGTTCTTACTTTAACTTTAATGACAACTTCACAAATATTACAGAGAAAAAAATACTAAAGTTTATCAAATCAGAAATTGGATCAGGAGTTCTCTTAATTGAATTGGCTTTCAAAACTACCTCTCTTTCGAACTTGAGGAAAATTGTTCCCTTTCCTATATACGTACCCATGCACGTG